ATTTTTGCGATCGGTGTGTCAATAAGACACCAATCCATGGGCCATATCCTGGCCACAAAAAACCTGCTGTTAGCTCTGGCCCGCCTAGAAAATGTTAATTAGGAAATTCAACCATCAAACCGCTATTAAATCACAAAATCAAGTGACAAATAAATACTACTTATTAACCGAGAGTGAGGTCATTACAGGGAAATCTCAGGCCGAGGCCTTATCCAGGAGAGTGTTAGGTGGATAACACCCTCCGATATCTGCATAATTCTTCATATCTTACGAAAACCGAATTCAATATACGCTCGACGCCAGAATGTTTTTTAACTCTTCGCTCGTCGTACAGTTTACGCGTTTAACTGTTGCATGATGGGAAGTCAGGGCAAGAGGGGCCTTCGCACAAGTCCTCGTGCCAAGTCCCAACGGCCGAGGCGAACAGGATGCCCTGTGTACGAGTTTGGACAAAACTAGGCTGTATAAGGCAAAGAAGGAAACGCTACTTTATTGAAGCCTCTAAATACTGTATTTAGCACACAGTAATGAGTGAGGACAATATTTTACGTCTTCAACAGGTAGTCGGGTCTACCGTTACAAATGGTTTTTATATACGCAGTCATTCCCCGTTTGTGAGGCGAAGGCATACCATGCAAGCAGAAGTTCCGCTACGAAGTCGTCCCAGTGGCTGACATTCGTTTGGTTGGCTTGTTTTTACTTTCCCCAGAGTAACAAGCCAACTACACGAATTTTTTGACCCGAAAGAAAGCAAACTACGCCTGGATGTCAACGACGCGAACAATGCCATACTGGAAAAAAATTCCTCTGCTAGGAGAGTATTGCGTAGCCACAGAGGCATGTCGAAACCGCTACCTCCTGCTTTGCAGTCCAAGCCTTAGTCCTCATATGATGGACAGTGCTATCCAGTGGCCATGGAAGGCGCTAATGGTGGTCCAAATACTTATGCACTGGATAGTATTTCATGATCCGGTGGATCCGGTGGATTTTGAACAACCAGGGACTGGGCTCTAACCGGACTGAACTAACCGTCTGCCACATGTACACTGGCGCGATGAAAACGATAAAATTGTACAGCGGACAAAACCCGCTTAACGGACACCGCTTAATACAGACACCTTATTATTACGGAAAGTTAGCTTTGTCTTTAGGAAAGAAAGTCCTTACCCGTTGGTTTTATCTAAATTCAACCCGGACACCCCGTTAATACGAGCACTTTCCGCTATAGCCCCTCATTAGCTCTCAGTGTCCGTATTAACGAGGATTGACTGTATTATCATAAGTTGGAGCTGATAAGATGATTAGCCACCGTTCAAAGATCGTTAACGATTTAGTTCTGGTAAAGGGTTAGCGGTCCAAACCTGCGCATTTTTTAAAATCTCTTTTCCCTGTTTCACATATCCCGCTGACCCAGCTACCTGCGACGTAGCCGCCGGTACTCAACCTGGGATGGCTGTTCGATAATGAGTACCCGGAAGACGCTGGCAACAGATGCCATCCCATTCCAGTCTTTACCGCAGGCATGCCTGTGAAGTTGAGTCGAGTTCAACTTCACAGGAATGCTATCCTCTTATACAGCCGGAGTCTACAGGAATGCAGGCGGTCAGGAATGCCGCGTCATGCGCTCCTGTGGCGGTAAAGACCTACGAGGCTCTTGTTGCAAGCGTTGCGGGCGCACAGCGCTGGTGGCTATATGGCCGGTAGGTCGGCGTGGAATCTTCATGGGCTCCTTTATTATTTTAGTTTACGATGAAGGTAATGATAATGTCGCGGATGATAGGAAAGCAGTTCGTGATGTATTAACAGTAGGCTCGGCATCAGCGTAACGGAGCTCGGCAAACTGACTTTCTCAACTCTCTCACAAGTCAATAAAACCAAATGTTTGAATCACTTTCCTACAAACACAGTAACACAATTTCTTTAAAACTAACGATGGATAGAAAAAGGCTTACTCGAACTAGAGTTGTTTACTCTCCTAGATTTCTCTTGCGTGCATTCGTCTGTGAACTGGAACTGTTCACCATTTGCACGGAAAACCGGAAATTTTCTCTGATAAGTTCCCTCATGATCAAACCTGTTCCTATTTGTTCCATTTCTGTACCATTCATCGAACACTCGCCCAACGTCACTAACTAACATTTTAATTTAGTGTTTTTTTAGATGTAAACCACGGTATTACTCCGTTAAGGACTCAATTGTCGGCCGTTTAATTTCGAAACGATTTTTCGTACTTGCAGATGGTAAACGTTCCTGAAAATCGAGAAAAGACGCACTTCTACTTATCGTAGTTTGCTAACTGGATCCACAGAGAGTAGTTGTTCCCGATAACTATCACAAGGTTCGTTAATCATGAAATGCCGATCGGAGTAATAATCTTTCAGGAATATTGAACCATCGTCGAATCAGTTTAAGTGGAAAAACGTGACTAGCTCGAATACTTGGTTCCCTCAGACTCTCATTATAGCCTTTATCAGTTGTTTCATCAGTTGTTTGACCATGATTATATAATATCTACTAAATGGTGGGTACTTAATGAGCTTTAAGATAATCGAATAATGCCAACACTGAGCTTATTATCCACCTCGTTGAAGATATGAGCAAGCCGCTACAATGCAACTTCAACTCAAGTACCGGGTAGGTCAAGTAGAATTGAGAATATTAAGTCAAGTATTCCCCAAAAAAGAATTTGTTCATCTTTAACGAGCAAATTATATGGCGTCTTCGTTAGACCATTAAGTGGAATAAACGTCAACACTTAAGTGTCCACGTATGCGCTATATCGTTATTTCTACAAATCTGGTTAAAACTCGGTATGATGAAGCTTTCTAGTGATCCGCAAATTCCGGTTTAATAAAGAGATTGGCAAAAAAATTTCTGTGTCTGGTTAAAGAGATTGGCAACAAAATTTCTGTGTGTATGGTCAATCCGACGCGCCATCAAAATCCGGACTACGGCCGTGAGTGGATTAATCACTGGCAATCTTACAGTCTGAATACTCTCAGTATCATATAATGCTCGATTTCAGTAATATTACGCGTTTCCGATGCTCGTTAAAACCTAAATGCGTGCGATAAACAATACCTGCAATTAGCAACGTAGTTTAGTCAGGGACACGGTGTGCGCAAAAAGCACTCATTATCCTGTATACTTTACAAAACGTTTTGTTTATAATTTGTGGAGAAGTTTTCTTAGCAGTCTTAGCAGCATAACAAGCAAGCTAGAGAGTTTCTCGTTCCCCTGTCGTTTGCTGGAACACTTAGCTGACATGGGAAGGGTGCTTCTTTGAGATAATTTGAAAAAAATCAGGGTGGTGCATTGTGCTGCCCTGTACACTGGACCCTCTTCGCTAACTTAGCTCACCCAATAGAAGACTACCATTTAGAACTTTACAATACATCATTTCCAGGACCCATCGACAGAAAATCGTATCACTTAGCCCCCCCACCTACTAACAGAAATCTATATTTTCCCACAAAAAGTCAGCTTTTTCCTGAGGGCCAAGTTGAGTTAGCGCTAATGCAGGGTAATATTTTAAGACGGGTCTCTTTTTCTTTTGTTTCAAAGTATTTTCTCAGATAATTTTCCCTATTCTTTTTAGGTCACCCAATCACCAAATTGCAGACAAAAAAATTAAACTGAATTTGCCTTTTAAGCTTTCATATCTGAATTTAAATTTCGCACAAACCCTGTGTTATATTACAGAGCTTTAGATTTTGAGAACGAGAACGACTACGAGTACGAGATTTAACTTAAAGTTCATTTGCGTACTCTAAAAAAATAGACACCCCGGAAGGCTTTATTGAACTTTTTTTTCATTAGAAAAGATATTACTATATCTATATTGAAGGAGGTTAAGCCCCCTCTTGATTAGCCTGCGAAAACATCCGTTTCTTCTCGCTCTTCGCCGCTGGGGACGTTTGCGCGAAACGTCCCCAGCGGCGAAGAGCGAGGAGAAACGGATGTTTTCGCAGGCTACCTCTCGATCGCAAAATTATAAAACTTACAACAGTTGATAACTCGTTTTCGCCTCTGCGACATTCCCGCTAAAACTCGTAGAAGAATGACGACGGCTACCAAAGTTTTCCCTCCAAAACAACAGCAACGACGACGGCGACGTCAACGAGAACGGCAAAAAAACAATAGGGTTAGATTAGTAAAACAACAACTCTGCACGTGTATCATACTTTTTTGTACATTACTTTGTCGTCATTGCACGACTACAACATGAAAATGCCTAAAAATTTCAACGTTTTGTGAACGAGGTGGAGGACGTGAAGTTTGAAGCGATGCGAACTTTTTAGGTAAGAGCCGTCAACGTCTTGTTGCTTAAGCTCCCTAATTGTTTTCACCCGCGCGCACCTTAAGTATTGAACTTCGTATACAACCCGGTGTCGTTAAAATCCCTAGTGATAATCCCTCCAATATGGTGCCAAAAATTACCCCCAACATTTGACGAATTTTGAAACGAGGACTACAAATGGAATAAGCAACAAAATCGACAAAAGAACAACGATTAAAATAATCGCAAAGCTGTCCGTGGCGAGACTTCTTCGTGGGTCGCAATGTTTTAAACAATTAAACGCTCCTCTTTTCCAACGTGATTATAATTCGTCACTAGTCGTTGGTTGACTGACAAAATTTCTTTCAGTAAGGGATAATTCGAAATGTTGGTTCACCCGCGCTGGTCCAGCTGTACCATAATAATCCAAAGTTGTTTGATTCCTGAAACCTAGTTGTATTACTAGTTGTTCTGATAGGGACTTTAGCAAGAGGAAAAAAACTCATATCGCTGCGCCGGGTCAGTGATATGTTGCAAGTCAATATTCCACCTTTGCATGTTGTTTGGTTACTAGTTATGTCAGATGATATCGACGCAAGAGAAGGTATTTCCTTATTGTTTCGTGGATGAGCATCAGTGTTTATTGTATCCCCACCCGGGATATATTTTTAACAGAATCAGTTAGTCTGCGCAGGCGCGCTACTTATATTTTTAACATAACCAAAATGGCGGACGAGCAGAATGGTGTTCAGCGATCGTTCAGTAAAATCAAGCAGTGGATCGGATGGTCGTGGACTTATTTATGGGGATTTTGGTTCCTTCTTGTCATATTCCTGCTTTACGTGCTTCGTACTCCCCTTCGTCTTAAAGAAAATCTGAACTTAGGTGAGTCATTGTTTATCGTGAATTTTAGAAAACATTAATAGTTCGCATCTTTTCTGATTTTTTTATCCTTTATCTTAGTCCAAAAAATGACTGTTTTTGTCGTTTGTAAAATTCCAAAAAAATAGGACCTCCCTGTAGAGATTCAAGAGTTTTCGCGTCTAAGCTTCGTTAAATTTTATTCAGAAAACGAATCGAAATGACAGAAGGGTGACCGGATGACATGACATTGTGAGATCAGCTGTTCGGGTTGATCAGCATTCAGTTCCACCGCTCGTCTGTTCCGCGTATCAGAATAAGAATTCCGTCATTTATTATTTTTTATCTCATTTCTAACTTGACGAAAAAATGGTTTATATTTAATTTTCTTACATTCCCAACCCGTCGGTGATGTCCATTTGTTTGGGTGATGATCAATTGATCTTATCTTCGTAATTTATGTCAAGCGTTGGTTCTGTTTGTGTCCAAGTGAACATGTGAGAGTCGCTTTAGCAGGCTAATTCAAAGAAGTTGTGGGGTTTTTTGTTTGTTTTTCATGTAAGTTGAAGCTCAAAGCACTAGCTAAGGAAAAAGCTTGTTTATTTTAGCAACAATCCACTGTATTAAATTTGATATTCGTCTTCTGCTGAATTGGATTCCTTGTCACAAATTTATACTAACAATAATGACACTTAATATTTATTTATTTATTTATTTATTTGTAGCCTTTGAATACAGCCGCCTCTTGCGGAAAAGACATCTGCATTTTGACCTCAAAAATTCCATACTAATGAAGTAAATCAATGTTTACATTATTAATCTGGTACATGTAGTCATGGGTCCCCAGATGCAAATTTATTTGGAGTTTCTGTTTCTCTTTGTCAAGTATCATAACATTTTGAGATCTACTAAGTATTTTGCACTGGCAAAACCACATCTATTATGCTTCTTTTAAAGTAAAAATATTACAAATTATTCCATGGAAATGAGTGTTTCTTGGTAAATCCAGTACTTTGTACATTTTGATCTTTTTTACCTTTTTTCTTTTGTATACCATTTGTAAACAGTAGCTTATAAAACTATAATAGTGCTTCGCAGTTACTATTTATAGACCTGAAACTCAGGCAAACAAACTGAAATTAACATAGGCGAATTCCTCACTGACTTTTGTTATTAAAATGTCATGTTTGCCTTTCTTTTGTCATTAAAATGAGAAAAATGACAAACTAGGACAAAAATTGCAAATTAGACACTTTGACGTCATTCGCGCGCTACGCTATTGCGCATAGACCAATCCTAGAGCCTCTGACCAGTTTTGGATAGATGTGCATCATCAGCATAAAATGTTTTGGTCCAAAATGTAGACATCTCTCTCTCAAAAAGTGTCTCAATGGTAGGAAATGATGAGAGGCAGCTGTATTTACAGGATAATTTTTTTGTGATGTTTCCAAAATGTTGCACAATAGCACTTTATAGAATAATATACTTGTAAAAGGTGACGCTATAACCAAACTCAGTGCTGAAAGAAAAAAGACAAACATTTTATGGAACACTACAGGTAGACTAACCAGAAATTATTGTATGCAAAAAAGGATAGTGTAACAGGTGCATGGAGTTAGGCTTTTGATTTATAGTCAAATTTTACCTTTGTTTATAACAAGAAAATACAAGGTTAGTGACTTGTAAGAAAAATCTTGCAGTTCATCAGAAGTCATGCAGGACTTTTAACGTCATCACCGGTTTCCCGTGATATGGAAAAAATGCTACACGAAGTTTATTTAAATGTGGTAATTGGGCATAGAGATAATGCAAAATAAAGATCACAGTCGTAGGGCTCAAAATAACAGCCGGTCAAGAGACAGAGACCGGCCAAGATGACCATTTGTCCTGACAAACTTTCAGGTGGTTGGTCAACTTGACTGGTTGGGAATAGCAACCCTTAAAAGTGGTTTTAAAAAAAGCAAAACAAAAAAAGAAAGAAATTCTGTGCTTGTCGCATTTCATTATCATAAAATTGTGTGAAGCAGTAAATGTTAAAAGGCTTGAAATAATAGGTGAGCAATTAATGTTTTCTTTGAAATGTTCCCCATTTTGCAACGCAAAGAGTTTTTGTACATACAAGGTGATGTTTATGTCTTTTATTGGATATTACTATACAATAACTACCAGTATTTTTTTATATTTTGACTGGTCACAAATGAGCCATGAGCTAAAATTTGTTATCAGAAATGAGCCATGACTGAGCTAAAATCTGTTACGCCATTCAACATGACTGGCCACCGTCAAAAAATTATTTTGAGCCCTGGAGGCAATACCATTGGTCATTTAACAACAATATTAATGAATGAGGGTGAGTATCGGCGGATAACACCCCCCGAGATCTCTATAATTCTTCATATGATACGACAGCCGAATTCAATAATAACTGTTTTGTTATTCATTCAAAATAATTCCTAGTTTAAAAACATGGCTAAAACATGCTTACCTCCATCGATCCATCGATGTTAAGTTCATCTTCGATGGTGCATGTTTAGGGTTGTTCAGCTCCGCAAATATTGTCCAAATAGCAGATGTTGCCCTTCAAGTTGTCTTCTTGCTGTTCTTGCCATGTTTTCAGCTATTATTTTGCCTAGTTCTTGCTCTTGAAACGAGTGAAATGTCCACCATTTTTGTTTTCATAACCAAAACAACTCAACCTTGTCCCTAGGTCTTCTTAGTTAACGGTGCATTAACCTGCAAGAAAGCTGCACTTTTGTCGTCATCGGTTCATTAAATGTAAAATTTTTCCAAATTTGGTCATCAGTAGCTGGATGCTTTTAGCCAATCAGAATCTGGGAAATATTTTGAACAAATAATAAAGACTGTTAGAAGCCAGGCTTGAGAGTAAAGTGTGATCTCCTTTTTCAAGCTATCACTTGGCTTTTGTACATTATGCTTTTGCTTCCCTACTAAAATGCTCCACCTTAATGCTCCATTTTCCCACTAAAATGCTTGGTCTCCCCAAAAAAGTCACTAAAATGCTCGCATAATGCTCATTATACAAACGTTTTTTTTAATTAATTTCAAAGTTTACACTTACAAAAATGTGCAAGTGTTGCAAGTAACAACGACAATGTGTACAAGTTCATAAATACAGCCAAAAAAACCAGCTGAATTTTAGTCTTCATTTTGTTTAAAAAAGCAGGAGCTCATGGGGCATGGGCTCCTGAAAAAAGTTAATATTAAAAGTCAAAATATAACAAAACAAAGCTAAGATACCTTCAACTGAACGTATCCTTGTCTTTCCTGGCGGTTTAAGTGGCATTTTGTTGAGTTTTGAAATTGTAGGTACTATCCACTAAAGAAGAATTAAAGGCTGGCTACAAAACAAACAGACCATCTCCACGCGCCTTCACACGAGCGCTATAAATTCGAGAATAATCGGCGAATCCGCTCCAAATAACCATCGGCTAATCTGCAGGTAACGTGTGCTCCTGCTTCTGGCTCGCTTGCTCCACAAAACCCATCGCAACTGCACAATAATTGCTCGCTCATCAACAACCACTGTTGACCTTTACGCTTCGATATAACCGCCAAAAGCGACCAGGTTTAATACGCCGGCGTGAACATTCAAGCTTAGCGACGGCGTTCGGCGCAACAATGCAGCACTTGCTATGGGAGGGATGGTACTATTGCTTCCAGGTCAATCAATCGGAAAATAAAATTGAAGCCCTTGTAATTTTTAAAAGATCCAATTTGCCCAAGGAGCACCGAACGAATCACGAACATTATAGCGGAGCTAAAAAAAAATGAGCGGCAGTGGAAAAAGTGAACAAGAACATGTACTATATTTTCTCCATAAAAAGTGAAAACCAGGAAGTTGTCTGGACGTTTCACGTTGCAGTCATGCAAATCAACGGCAAGAAAATGTACAAGAAAGTGTGCTGCAGTCAGACCTATTGTTGTTTTTCACAGTTCTGGTCAAGGGCATCAAACTTTTAATTTTCACATTTCACTCACCGGGTTAGGCTATTTTTTCGTAGAGAGTAAAATGGAATCCTAAAATTTTCGGATTCAAAAATGTGATGAAAGAAGGTATCTGAAAAATTATCTCCTTCAGAATCACGTTAAATTGCATCTAAAATTTTCGGGAAAATGATTCTGAATTCCTCGTAATTTCGAAAAGACGAAAAATTAATTTTAAACCGGCCAGGAAAGACAAGGATACGTTCAGTTGAAAAATCTTAGCTTTGTTTTGTTATAAAGACTATTTTTGAATAATGCTCAATGTCCATGTTTTATTCCTCACTAAAATCTACTATATTTTCTCGGAAAAATTGATTTTCTGGGGAAAAAAAAATGCTAAAATGCTTGAAAAAATGCTAGCATAATGTACAAAAGCCTAGCTATCTCTTGGAGACTGCAAAAAGTTTGATCACTCAAATGACAATTACAAGGGCTAACTGCAAGCTACGTTGTAGCATTTTGTAAAATAATAATATAACTACTAGATGTATTCCACTGAAGGATTGTCTGAACTTACTTAGAAATTAAATGGATGGCAATGATGTTGAAAAGAGCATGACGACCATGTAAACATTGAAAAAACGAGTAGGTCGAAGAAGAAAAATAAAAGTTCAATTTTCCTTGAAAAGAACCCTAAAAAAATGTTAAAATTTCCATGTAAACTTGAGCAAACATCTGCTACAGTAAATACAGCTGAACTGTTCTCATTCTTTATTGGTTTCATGAATTATGATAGAAAACACAATGCACTAGTATTGTTTTGGTTTTTAATGTTTCTTTTTTTAATTAAGTTACAATTAAGCATTGTTTGCACAGGAGCCATACGATATAACTAGTTTTTCATGTTGTTATGTGCAAATTATTTTAGACAATTTTAGACTCAAGTGCATGTTGTGCTCTTTTCTTAACCAAGTGGTTTTTTTTTTCCAGCTATCCTTTTCCTGAACACACTCACTCCTAAGTTTTATGTTGCTCTCACTGGAACATCATCATTCATATCAGGAATCATTCTTGTGAGTGTTCATTTTAATGATAAATCCATTAATGTGTCTACCCTTGTACATTTATTCAGCTTTAGTTTGTGCATTGTTAGGCTAGGAGTTTTATAGTAAATCCTCTATTAGTCACCCTGGGGGGCTTATTTATTTCAAACACATTTGAGGAGGGCTTAATAGAGACAGGGGAATGCTTATTTGAAAGGGAGGGGGCTTATTTAATTTAGGAAAGATGGTGGTATCAGTTCTCGATAAAGAACTAGAATACAAAGTGGATAAGCTCAAGTTCAAGACGTTGGAGGTCATGCAGCCGAGGGTCAAACAAATCTGAAATTCCAACACGTGAATAAATCACCGCGGATGACTCCAAATGAAGTTTCACAGTCATGATTGATTAATACAGTCTATCGTTTATAAGTGAAGAATAATAAGGGGGAGGGGAGGGGTCTTATTAGCATTTTTCTCCTTGAAAAGGGGTGCTTATTAGAGAGGTGGGGGGAGGCTTATTTGATAGAGGGGGCTTAATGGACAGTTATTCACGTTAAGCGGTTTCAACTTATAATAATTTTCTTGGGATAATTTTTTTTTTGGTTAAGACATTCTTACATATTAGTGCAAGAATTCTAAGAATAGCCATATTTTGCAAAGGCTGTTGAATATCCCTGGAAAACTTGTAGTTACTTCTCCCAATTGACTGTTTTCTTGTTGCACGGATGTAGATATTTGAATGGTGGTACTTTCGGAAGTATGGTACGTCATTTATTGAACATGTTTCATTATCCCATCTCGGTCCTTTATTGGGTAGTTCAGACAATACAGCTACAAATCCTCAACAGAATGTTGCAGGTTTGTATTGTTTGTTTTATCTAGAATTTTTTTTTCTGTTTGCTTTGTGTTTTCATATTATGGAGGGCTGTCACTGAGGACTGCAGTGATTTTGTTACAAATAATTGCATATTGTACCCAGCAACTTGAAATCTTAGTGACAGCATGCAAGGACAGCAGGATTGTTTGTGTTAACACAAACAGCCCTGTAATAATAATTTGTTGTTTTTTATTCTCTAAGTGTGGCATGAACTTAATGTCCTAAACCTAAACCATGCAACCAGGGTGTGAGCTAGGATTTGATCACTGGGGGACAATTTGTCCCCTTGGCTAAAATTTTGGGGGACATTTTCATTTTTAGGGGGACAGAAATTTGTACACCCTTCCTTCTTAGCAGGGCTTCAGTGATAGGTCTCGGACAAAAAAGTCAAATTTCGTGGGATTTTTAGGGACAAATTCGCGGAAAAATCGGCCGATTTGCGGGGGTTTTCAGGGCAAACTTCACCAAAAAGCAATCAGTAAAAAACAGCCAATTTTGTGGTTATTTTCAAGGCAAATTTCGCTAGAAATCGATCGGTTTTACTCTGATCAGACCAGCTTTTTTAACGTTTTTCTAACAGAGGTCATCATTTGCTCTTTCAACAACAATATGCTCCAGAAATGAACCAATGGCAAAGCCTTTAACATGATGGCTAGTGCCCAGTTTTTCGCAACATAATCTGTTTGCACGTTTCAGTGACGAAGTTCCAAGATAAATTTGCAAGTTTACGGCAAGTAAATAGCCCCTATAGCTGAAAGAAGTTTCAAATATGTTGTACAGACATGTATTTGATACGATTTCTACCAAATTTCGCGGTATTTTTCGTGTTTTTGTGAATTTCGCGGCTCCGCAACCGCACGAAAAATCAGAAGCCCTGTCTTAGATTTCCGAAAAAATAGCAGTAGAGCGTGACTGAAACGTAACTTTGGAATGAACTTTAAAGGTGCGATAAAATATACTTTCCACGTTCTGTTTCAGCTTGCAACTTCTGTACCGAGATAAATCTCTTCGTGTGTGCTTCCTTTCGAGTTTTTTCCCTAAATTTTGAAGGGGACAAATTGTCCTCTTGGCTGTTTTTTGAAGGGACAATTCCAATATATTGCAGTGCGGGATTGGCGCAATGGCGCGGCCTGGCTCAAACCCTGTGCAACCCCTGTTTTGCATCCCCTCATTGCATACTCCTTCCATTACAACCCTCCCACTTACAGGAGTCACATACTCCACCCTCCTTGAATTCAATCACCCTTAACTATACCTCCCACTCCCTCTTCTTTTGAATCCTCCCTCAGTGTATGCCCACAACTTTGTCACATATCCATCCTTGCACACTTCCCATCTCCAACACACTACTATCTCATTCATTCTCTCCTCTTTTACAGCCCCACTCACCACAAAATCTTCCTAGTATTTAATGTGCCTCATTTTTTATCTGTTTTGCTTCATGCTCATTATTCATGTTATAGGTCCAATTAGTTCTAATTTCAGTATAACTTTGATTTAACCTACATTCAGCGACAAAATTAGATGAGACACTTTGCCCAAAAGGGCCTTTCTGATGTTTTTCTGAAGGGGAAAATAAAGCTTTCCCTCCCCCATCCCCCCTGCAATGTTGTGCTGTTGTTTGAGCTACCTGCAGAAAACAACCAACACCCTAACTTTGAATGGAAGGGAGGGGGGAGGGGTGTGGATTGTTTTGTTCTCTGAAGTTACCCTATTTGATTACTGACAATGTCTCAACAATTTTTTTGCCAGTTGTTGGTTGATTCTCAATTTCCTTTGCCTTTTAGCCCTTGAAGACAATGGAAATTGAGAATCAACCTACAATTTTTGTACTTAAGTCTCATTGTTAAAGCAAGTATCACTTCCTCCCCAATGTTGATTCCCTTATTATCATTTATTTTGCAAATACATGTAAATGCGATTTTCAACACCGAGGAAGGAGAGAAATATATGTACCAATAGGGAAGTGTAAGTTGGTTGAGAAGGCATGACATCAAAAATTTGCAATATCAGTCAGGTGTTTCAAATATGAAATTTGACAAATACATTAAAAACTTTTAACCTGAAATTAAATTTGGCCTATAACAATGCACACAAACAAGAGAAAAATGATCAATTATCAATGCATCCCGTCCTTCGTACCTTCACTGTCCCCTTATAAAGCACATGGACTTGCTGACTAATAGCTTTAACAAAATTCATTTCCTTGACAGAATGTAAAGTTTGGAGAAATCCTGGCAATCTTTTCCGAGGTGCAGAATACAATAGGTAATGTCTATTAATTTTACTGCAATGAATTTCTGCGTCATTGGTGTAATAATTCCTATGAAGACTTTCCAGGTTGATATAGGTATGAATATTTTGGGTTTCAACAAAACACACTGACCCCCTACTCCCCCCCTCCCTCCCCCTCCCATTACTGACCCTCTCTAAAATCACAGGTAATGAAGTATTGACTTGATCTCCTTTAAAGAGACAAGAATCTATCAAGACTTTAGTTTTCATTAATGCAAGTCATTAGTTCCTTTCCAGTAAATTAGATAGGGGGTCGGTAAGGGGGGTCGGTAGGGGGTCAAGGTACGCTAACGGAGGGCAGTCTTTTTTTCGAAACCTGAATATTTTCTCCATATTAGAAGTACCCATGAAATTCTGTTTTTGACAGGTATTACTGGGTGACAGGAAAAGAACCATTAACTTATTACGACATGAATCTTTCAGCACAAGATCATCAGGTAATTATGACTTCTGTTCTCCAAGAAGCACCAGAAAACAGAATATTGATATTTTCATCAGGGGGTTTCAAAAACGTTTTCCATAAGCAGGTGCCTATGGTTAGATGGCTGTGACCAGGAAAGGAGCCACAAGGTTCATTTTCCTTGAAAACTTACGCTGTGTAGGCAGCGGTAGACTGCTGGTAACCGCAAAAATGGCACGCAAACAGCAAGCTACACTTTGCGAAGAACTGCAAGCAAGCAACTGCGTATATAAGTCACGAGGTGCCCCTGCTAAAGGGAACGGGCCACCCCTAGTATAGCTGGGGAAACTGCTGATCAGCATTCTTCGAGGTTAACTTTGCCTAAATTACATTTAGCCACATGTAACCAGCTGTTATTGAGACCTCTGTGGTCATCATGAACAATTTCTGATTGTAGTAAGCATCGTCTAAAATTTCCATCGAGCAACATTGATCACATACCTTATTATAGGAAATTAATGCTCCATGAAATTAATGCAAATCATTAAAACACGTTAATTTAAGTCGCGTTAATTTTGTTGAGCGTTAATTTCCACGACGTTAATTAAGTGCAGCGTTAATTTTCTGCGCTCTTAATTTCCAGTATTTTAACTCCAATTTTGGAACCTGTCCAGACATTCTTGACACCTAAAAAACATTAACTACAAGCTTTCTTTCTTTCCATTTACCCTTTATTTTTCATCTTTTACAAAAGCTAAGGTGAAGGTTTACAATACTTCGAGTCCATCTTCATCGTTGTCGCTGTCAGAAGTGATGTCAATATCTTCTCCTTTGATTTTGGCCAAGATAATCACGTTAATTTCCTTTTTATGAAATTCTACCTCCTTTTTCGCGTTAATTTTCTTTATTCGAAAGTCGTTTTCCATTAAATTCGTGTTAATTTAAGTCGCGTTAATTTCCAATACCTTAATTTCATGGAACGTTAATTTCCTATTATAAGGTATATGTACAAGAGTTCTATAGAAAGATGTGAGGTGAAACTAATAAAGCTTTTCAAGTAGACTTGCTTTCTCTCAAGGTTTTATTTTTAAACTATTTTTGTTTTTCTTTACTTCAGACTTTCTTTACATGTGATGCTGATGCTGAGAGTGCCGATCCTTCAGATGAATGTGAGTGTTAAGTTCCTCAGTCTGCTATAAATAAGTGTACAAGTTAATCAAGGCCACGTGGGCACGTATCCTTATATTTTTGAAAACAGAGATTTTTTCTCCATTTTCAGAAACCATGCATCCACACATAGCATATTCGAATTGTTTCCACCTGTCCACACAAGAACACTAAAACAATGGAAATACACTAACATCCCTTATGGAGCATGCATAATTCTTGTAGTATATAGCATATGAAATCAATGTATTTGAAAAACTTAATTTTTCATCTGTCATCTCAGTTTAGGAAGAGAGCTTGGTAAATCCATCCACTGAGACCCAGGGGCAGTCATCAGTTGGGTCGAGAGAAAAAGCGCAGCAAAAGTTTTCAATTACAGGTGGAAGAGCCCCCTGGGTATCAACTGACTCACCAGACCATTTCCAAATGGTCAACTTAATGCTGGCTCCTGATTGGGAACAAAAAATGCTTTAATGAAAATGCTTTTATTGTGCCCAATCAGCGAACAGCATCTCCTGAGTTCTTTTCATGTGTTCGTTCGTACATGATAGCTATTGTCTCCCAATACTCATCCGGTTCATTCACCAAGTGCGTATGTACAAGGGAAACTTTCATTTTCTATTTTCCTAACTAGAAAAGAGGGAAATACCTATGACGCAAGAAAACATTTCAGATGATATCAGTAGGAACATTCCAATTTGCACCGAGCAAATTCAGTCTGTGACCGATCACTAGGTATCATAAATAACATTTATGACGGTGTAATGGATGTAAGCATAAATACGAGTTGTTTGCTCAAGCTTGTATTTTTGGAAAAGTGTCTTTAAAATACCCTTACACTTGTTTCCATGTTTTAGTTGTCAGGTAGACAGTGTTTTGAAATGAACGGGGTTTATATCAAAGTGAAAGTTTCCTGACTGTGAGCATTTCTTTGGTGAACAAATCGGACAAGTATGGTGAGACAATAGCCATCATGTACGAACACATGAAAAGAACTCAGGACATGCTGTTTGCTGATTGGAAACAATAATACAAATTAAAGCATTTTTTGTGCCCAGTCAGGAGCCAGTATTCGGTGGACCGTTTGGAAATGGTCTGGTAAGAGTCGGTACCCAGGGGCCCTTCCACCCGTGCTTGAAAACTTTCATTGCGCCTTTTCCTCTGTCCCGACTGACTGCCCATGGGTCTCTGAGGATGGGTAAATCAAGCCAACGCTGAATCTGGAGCTCAAAGAAGGTATTGTGAGGTAGTTTTAACTGAACCTTTGTTGATTGATTTTAGTAATGCTTAGAGCGTGGAGAGAAAGAGATCAAGAAAAGAGAATAAAAACAGCCCATCAAGCCATAGAAATTAATCCAAGGTATGTGAATCATGCTTGGTACTAATGGACTTGCAAATCATCTTTTTTTAGTTTTCATAATTTGATATATAGTAGGTATGTGTATTTAGATTGTTGTACAACTATGAAATACTAGTGTCATGTATATGTTTGCAACACTTATTGTTCGGCTCACTTTAATTTCACGATTTTCTTTTTGTATTGTGAAATTCGCAAAATTTACATGTCACGAAAATTTGCTGCAATAAGGGATATATCGTCGAACAAAAACTGTAAAGAAGTTCTCACCTTTTTTACAAGGAAATAAGTTTTTTAATTCACTTGACAACAAGGTCGTCAACTCTCAATCCCTTTGCTCCTTTAAGAAAATACTGAAGATTAAATTATTCAGTAAATATGAAAGCCACCCTTAAATCTTTCCATCTTCGACTGTGCGCCTTCTTTTGTTTTCTTCAATTGATGTAAACACCTCCTATCTATTAAACAGCTCCTCTTGGAGCCCTAAATTAAAATAAATTACCTGGGCGTGTATTAGATTATTTACAGTATGGGTGTCAGTATGCAGGATAGTTAGTTAATAAGAATAATGCTAAATAATCTTTATAGAGGAAGCTCCTGTCACATTGAGTGGTTTTCAGGGAGGTTCTCACTAAGATTAAATAAATTATATATGAATTACTTACTTAATTACTTTACTGAAGTTAATTACTAATTTTTTTTTCTTTTAATCAGCTGTCCAACAGCACTTATTTTACTCGCTGAAGAGGAAGCTCAAACTATTTTAGAGGTGGGAAATTCATTTTTTAAGACATGAGGAAACATAACTTCTGAAACTGAAATACCATAAGTCCTCTATTATCCCCCCCACCTTGTAATAAGCCTTTTCACTCCCTTTACAGGGGAATAAAGCCCCACTCAAACATGCTTGAACTAAATAATCACCCTTAACAGAGGATTTACAGTAGCTTAGTACTCAATGTGCAGATGACATTACAAATTTGAGCCATTTTAAGGCTTTTAACTTTATTTCAGATCACAACTGAACTTAATTTCTCTCTTAGGCTGAAAAGTTATTTAAACAAGCGCTGAAGGCAAGTGAAGCATTGCTGCGGAACAGTACTTCAGCTAGCTCAGACACTAAAGAAGAAGCTGTACATAGTGAGTGGAAAAAAAATTGTTGCTCATCCATCCTTAGCTCTGTAAGTAGTTGAGACTTGCCACAAGTCGACCTCCCAAGATTCTAAGTGGGTGGAGTGAGCTCTTTCGGCCAGGAAGCAGCCAAGCAAGTGGCAAAGTCAGTGGACTTTTTTGAAAGTCTATACAGGGTGCAAAGAAAGTCAGCTTTACAGCTTGCCATTCAGGCAAGCTGTAACCATCATGTACAAGCTCGAAAGTCATTTCAACTAGCCTGAGATAAAATTGATGAGCAGGATTGATTGCAGTTCTTCTGTAATTGGACTTTTTTTGAAAATCTATTAGATAGCAAAATCGACTAGTCCCTTATAAGTACTTAGGCCGGAATTTTTAGAACCCTTGGGCAATGTTAAAGCAGTTGTCTGCAGTTAGAGCTTCTTTCTCGTGTTGTTAAAATTCCTGCATGCTTATGTGAACAGACAAACTACAAGACAAGGTTTTTAGGTCTTTAATGGTGGAGTATTTGTTGAACGAAAAGAATAAATCAATGCCTGGTCAATGTCCTCTTGCAGTAGAAGATTTTTCTTCCTTTCTAACAAGTCTGCTACTTGTTTCTAGAACAGTCGTAAATAAATATTGTTCTAGTCTAAACGAGCAATTATTTACCATGTTGCTTTCCCAGGCCTCGTTAGAAGTTTTTCCGTGATACAAATTTCTTTACTTATTTATTTCAATCCTCAGGACGAGACACAAATGTCTGTGTTTACATCAGACGAAGGCTTGCTATGTGTGCTCGGAAACTTGGAAGAGTCAAGGAAGCCATTAAAATGATGAGAGATGTATGTGTTTCCTTTTTTCTTTTTAACATTCAGTTATACTACTCATTAGGTGCGGATCTAGGATAAATTCTGACCGATTTCCTAAATGAGGGCCGAAGGTGCAGGCACTATCTAGCAGGGTCCGAGGGGCAGGCTCCCCCAGGAAATGTTTTGGATTTTAACTCCTTAACTTCCCCTTTCCTGGGTTTCCAAGTCCATCAGGCAGGATATTGGCCAGGTTTCAACTTGGAAAGTGTTTTTTTTGTATTAAAAGTATATTTATAATGAAAAGTCTGACCGATTTCCGTAAAATGCTTGAAACCGATGTGGATCCGCCCCTGCTCGTAAGGATGCTGTTTGAATCTGTCCAACCAAACAGTGCTCAAAATCAAACTGTTTGCATTATATAAAATTTTCAAAAAGAAAAATTAAAGTGATGTCTCTCCCATTCAAAATTTGTAGCCTGCGAAAACAGCCGAAATTTTCGCGACACCACCACTTATTCCCCCACGAAATCAGTATGGACTTTCTGCGCTCATTTCTTAGATGTCATTTTGAGGGAAAAAGGCCAGTGGTGGCATCATAAGATGTTGAGTGATTTCTCAGGCTACAAAATTTGTTGTGCAATTTACCGGTGTATAATGCAGCCACACAAAGTTGTTTTTCTTAATTTTTCTTTTTTTTTTTCTGTCAGCTAATGAAGGAATTTCCTCTTATGAGTGTTTTAAATATCCATGAAAATTTGTTGGAGGCTCTGCTTGAAATACAAGCTTACTCCGAAGTGCAGGTATTGATCCTCTCCAGATTACCTTCAGGGTATTTGTCAAAATTGATTCATGCTGTCCTTAATCTTCTTTGCAACGTTTTCATTCAGACATGTCCTCGTTGTTGTGTGAATGTTTGCGCTGAGAGAGCTTGCTTTGGGAGGCTTTGGGAAACTTGTGAGAGCACGAAAACATGGGTATAAACCAATGTATCTGAACAATCACTTATTTTTAAGGGTAAGACAATGGGATGGGTAGAGGTATGGAGGTTGCAAGAAGGAGCTGCAAAAAATAGCATCCCAATAAACTGCAGCCTTCTTCTTACATCGTCCACACTCAGGGATACTTCATCACTTTTCTACTACTGCACATCCTGAAAAGTCTCAAGGAAGAACTTGCCCTGTCCCCCCTCTCACCCTCCCCCACCCTTTTAAAGTTGAGCATTTTCTGTAAAAAGAAAAAGTGGCCAACCTCACTGGCTTATGTTTAACCTTTGCCTAAAAGAATTTCAAACCATTTGACAGCAGTTACAACAAACAAACCTGATTTAACAGAGGTACAGCATACTGTTCTTACTAACTTTTTCCCCTGTACTTTCTTTTATCTACAGCAAGTTCTAGCTAAATATGATGGTAAGAGTTAAAACATTTTCATATTAATTTGTTCTTTCTTGGGTGGAAATTTATAAAGGACAAAAAAATCGATATTTTTTTTTTTACTTTGCAGATATAAGTCTTCCTAAGTCAGCTACAATATGTTATTCAGCTGCACTCCTTAAAGCCAGAGCAGTTTGTGACAAGTAATGAAAATAACTTTTGTACTTGGGCCGCTAGTTGAAGAGTTTTTTTCTCAGCCGTTAAAATTATAAGAACTGACTAAATTTAACAGTGTTCACCCACTGATCATCCCAGAAAATACTGATTGTTGAATGGCTAGAATGATTTCATAAAGAAGATGTAAGCCACCCTGAAAGATGATGACAAAACAATCACTTTTCTCCCTCGTAAACATTATGTACAGTTTGTATACCGGTAACACACAACATGTGCAGTGGATGTGTGGTTCTTTCCCTTCAAGTGAAGCCAACAAGTCCTGATCTACGCCTCAGTCAGTTTTTCCTCATTTATACTCAGACTCTTCATTCCATAGACTACGACTAGTCCTTCATTTTCCTCGGAGATGGTTGAGCGAGTGAGGCGTGAAAATCTCTGCTTGGAGGAGAAACGAAAAATAAATACATTTTTTCTCTTCCCTCCACATGTCACCTTCCTCATGGGTGCCGGTCTTTACGCGCGCTTGCAAATTTTGCTTGCTGCACTACATGGTACTGTATGTTTTCATCCACCAAAGTGACACTTTTGTCTTTTCTAAGAATTTTCTTTTTGTCTTTATACAGATTCTCTCCTGAAATAGCAGCAAAGAGGGGATTAAGTCCAGCTGAAATGGCAGCAGTGGAGGCCATACATAGAGCAGTGGAATTTAACCCTCATGTTCCTAAAGTAAGTAACTGATTCTTCTCTTATCTACACTGACTGTCTCTTATACAGTGGAACCCCGTTATTACGGTCACCAAGGGGCTAAAAAAAATTGGCCGTATTAACGAAGGTTTCTTTACAAGAAAATGTATGGACGGTTTTGCTGGGCGGTCAAAAAAAAGTGACCGTATTAAGGAGGTGGCCGTAAGACGGGGTTCCACTTTATCTGAAAACTAATTATTTTATTACTATCTATTTTCACTAATGCTTTAGATCAAGCTGTCAGGATGCCCCGCTACTATGCATGTGAATAAAATTAACCATAAGAAAATAGTATTTACCAAGACTCACTCTAGCCCCTTTTTGTCGTAATAAATGCTATTTTTTTACAGTATCTTCTGGAGCAGAAAAGTCTAATACTACCTCCAGAGCATATTTTAAAACGAGGAGACAGCGAGGCGATAGCTTACGCGTTCTTTCATTTACCTCACTGGAAAAGAGTAGACGGAGCTCTTAATCTGCTTCACTGCACGTGGGAAGGAAGTATGTATGGACAGACCTCTTTTGTGTGTTCCTTTTTTCGTCATCATCATCATCATCACAATATTCATCATCACTTTTATTATTGTAAATGTTAGTATCAGTAGCATTTTTACAAAGAAACATCCACTAAGATTCTTGATTTATTTCTTGCTTGTACATAATTTTCAAGGAAATTCCAATCGCCATTTGCACATCTCCAATCATGATTACTCCTTGTTTGCCCCCAAAATTTTGCATAGCGTTTGTTTTTAAATTCTCCTGGGTATTACAGTCCTCCCCAGAGAAACTGAAGACAACACTTATTTTAAAATCGTTTTCCTGGGACATTACAGTCAGTTTTGCAGCCCCAGAGAAAGCTAGCATGTGTTAGCCCACAAACAAAACCCCCTTTTTGGATTAGCAGGATTGATATACAATCCTTCTGTAAGAATTTTTGCCCATCGGGTAAGTTAAGAACAAAAAAGTAGATAGCGTTTTGTGGGACTTTCTTTGTACACTGTGGGAGATGTGTAAATGGCAAATACTTATGTTTCCTATTTAAATAACTTTGTCTAGCAATTTGATTGAAAAATTTACATTCGTCTAAATTTTATTTGTTCATGAATTTTTTCAGAAGCTTTCTATGTAGGTTTCAATAGAAATGAATAAGGCTGATTTTAAATTTTAAAAAATGAATAAATAAATAAATCATTATTACTCTTATTATTATCATTTGAGTAAGAATGCATGTTTGCTGCAACAAATTTCCCTTTGATAAACAGTTGATGCCATTTTAATTTGGAACGAAATTTTAAAAAACGAAGTGGATTTTAAATCTTCCCTTGAACCCGAAGTCGAACATGGAGGTGGGGGACCCCAGGTAGGTGAGGTAACCCTTTTAAACCCGCCTGACCATATAATCTCTCATTTTAACTTGATCACGTTATCCCGCCACTTGATTACCTGGGGTGAACCTCCCTGTAAACAGGCCCTAAAATACCGTCCAACTTCAACACAATAGAGTTCACCATGATGAAAATCTTGCGTAGGATGTGGTATGTACTACATGTTAAACTGTTTTATTTCTTCAACAGCATTTCGTCTTGTCCCGTACCCCCTGGAAAAGGGTCATTTGTTTCATCCCTACCCAGCATGCACTGAAAACGCTGACCGGGAACTTTTGCCAAGTAAGTTCTGTATTGAATGCGCAATGTTGTCTATTGCTGTCCCTGTTGAACTAAATCTTGGCCGTTCTGAGATATTATAATGAAGTTTGAAGAGTTGTAATTAACACGCGATAGAATATTTTGGAGAAGTTAACAAGGTTGTCAATGAGCAATAGCCTTAGCAATGTCCTTGCTTAACTTAACGCGTTTCAAGTAGCCTTCTATGTTGACATTCTTTGACCCCTCACACCTCAAATTTCTTTGCAAGGACCGTTGACCTTAGATAGGAAGGACCTAAACCAGGGTGGGCTGACCAGCGGTTTTTCCTAAACAAATGGTTTTGTTTGGGGTGCTCCTTCTCGCGGGCTCATAAAGCTGGTCCAGGCCTTTAATAGTCTCCGTTGGAGGATGGTGGTACTTAGTTTTTACATGGGTTTGGGAAATCAAATGGTACAAGCCATTCTGTTTTGGGGGAGCTTCAGATATGGGCTGTCGTTTGAGGTGAGGCAACTTTTCTCGTTTTGGTCTGCTCAGCTGATTTGGATAAAGTTTCTTTCGGGTCCTCTCCTGCCATCTCAGATTTTATTGTTGAATGTTTTTCACAAGATTTTCAACCGGATTGTTTGTGTAAAGCACCCCAGGTTTGGAGGTGCTGTAAAAGATCTAAGTGTATGTGTGGATAAAAATTCTCTTGAAAATTACTTCTTTTGCTTTTGTCCTTTTCAGGTCACCATGAACTCTCCATTTACCCCAAAAAAGAACTTCCTTTCTTCATTCTGTTTACCGCTGCCCTGTGCTCTTTCACTGCTATGCTGGCTCTTCTTACACACCAGTTCCCAGAACCAATGGCCAACGCGGCCAAAACAGTAAGTAGTGTACAGCTGTTTTGAGAAAGGTTGTCGGAAAAAGTGCACGCGACAATCCCGAAAGGTATTGTGGGTGGTTTTGTCTGCCCTGTTCTCGAAAGAAATTTGAAAGAATGGCACGCGAGGCCACGGAGATATGTTCGCGATTGCTAATGGAAAGCAACGAAAGTAGGTTCGACAGCTACAGTCGTTAGGAACAATGTTAGGAACAGTGTATGGATCATATCCCATATTACCCTTCGCGGTTGTGGCGTGCACATATTTTCCGACAACCTTTCCCGAAATAGCTGTATACAAAACGTAGAGTGCAACGAGCCTGTCGACGCCACACTACAATATGCAGATTTAGTAAGGACAATGCAACGTCAAATGTGAACGCAAAAGCTCTCGAAAAGGACTCAACGCTACTTCCGGTCCTCGATTTCCCGATCTGCCATTGGTCAACTCGCCTTTTAGATCTGCGCGCGCCGTCGTTGTTAGGAAGTTTAAGCAAAGACGTTTTTGAGCGGCGCAGGTCAACCGGGAGTGGCCAGTTTTCATTCTTGAGCAGTGATTTTGTCCATATATTGGGCGAATCATCTCTATAAGAGTAAAGAAACTAAGCAATACAAATTTGGTAGCGTCAAAACATACTGAAAGAGAAAAAGGCTCACTTCCGGTTGACGTGCGTCGCTCAAAAACGTCTTTGCTCCCTACTGTCGTCGCGTTCTCTTTGCTAAATCTGCCTAGAGTGCTAAGGTTGCTCCGCCCTTTGGTATGTCGCATTTTTCTTGTGCAAGTTTACCCTGTGTTTGCTACATTTGCCTTTAAAAACAGTGTCATAGTGTTCATCCTGTCACAGGTCTCGGATCAAAATAAAAAGCAAGTGAAGTGAAGAGTTGTAGCTTGTTTCGCTTTTAAATTGTGCGCGAAAATCTGTCTTCTGGTATTAATTCGATGACATAAGCGGAGGTAGACTTGTAGCACTTGTAAAGATTCGTCGTCCGGCTTGCAACGCAAAGTAGCCAAGAGAGTTATGACACTGTTAGAAGAGTGCATCATATTTGACAATTTCACGCTCACATTTGTCCTCCCTTTTTCTCATATTCAAAGATGTGGATTTCCATGATTTGGGACTGTCAGCAGTTACCTATTTTTCCGTGAGATGCTCTCTACCGAGCGCGCTTTTCAAAGAGCGGTCATCTTGGTTTCTAATGTACTAAGGGCATGGGCACCGCGGGGGAGGAAGGCGCGAAAAAATAACCCTAACCCCATTTTAAACCTGCTATATGCCATATGTCAATTTTTACTCCTAAAGATTTTGATCGCCTTATGAAATTAAGATACTCTTCTATTTTCAGCTGTAATCGTACAGGAAAATAGGGGACTGTAAACATCCAAAAAGGTTACGTTTTATCATACTCGAGCTCAAAATTAACAACAGAAAAAGGGGCTTAATACACTGTGACCAAACTTCCAAGTACACATTTTCTTTGAACTTAATTTTTTTTGTTTGTAATTTGTATTCCTCAGTGTTTGAGCTGGATTTCAACACCGTTAAATCTCATTATACAGAAGTTTGAAGATTTCTTTCCTGCTCACATATGGCATCAGCTGACACGCATCTGATTGGCTGTTGCTCTGACCACGTGCTTTCATCCCTACTCTGATTGGTTCACGTTATCACCTTATTTAGAAATAGCCCATGAGATCACTACTGTTGTCGTTGCAGCATTGGGTGTGTTTATGAAACGTAATTAGAAGGCGTGAGTCGCAATGTGCTTCTTAGACACTGTCTCTTACTATTAAAATCGTTGATATTGAGATGCGCAAGGCGAACTAGGAAAGTTAAAAAGAGCACATTATTTCTGTCATATTGCAGTGTTTCAAAGATATTCTTTGAGTTAAAATATTTCTTCCGACGTAACTAAATTAAATGCTCTATTGTTTGAGGCTATCAGAGTATATTTATTTAGTCGAGAACAAAAAAGTTGTTGAAATATTAAAAGAAGTTCGAAATTCCGCGTCGGTGTTTGGAGCCTCTTCACACCAACTTGTATCATGCTTCCGTCCCCCTAACGTCAATTATAGTTTTACAGGAATAAAAACCCCGAACGGTGAGAATAAACTTGAACTGTACAGAAAGAAAGCAAAAGTTAGGACGGACTGTATTTTATTACTATAGGTTTTCGTAATATTGCTTGGTTTGTCGCGATGAAATCGACGACAGAAGACCATGACACAAATTTAGAAATGCCCTATAAATGCTTAGCGATAATGATATGTTTGTGAGGAACCAGACTCGCAATTATGACCATGTTCTTCGGCAAGCGAGGGCTTCAAGAGACTCTGCAAATCGTTTTCCTGGGGAAATTGCCATGTCCTTACTCGCTGAAAATTCCAAGCTGCAGCGCTAATAACTGTGCATGCTTCTAAATCATTTGGTTATACAGTACTAATACAGTACAAGGTCAATCAGTTTTGTTACCACTGTTAGAGAGCTTTAGATTCTAAGACGAGGACGACCGGCGAGAACGAGATTTTCTCAATGCTAAGTAGTGCGCCGGCGAACCCACGTCGTTTTGGCGGGAAAACGCCATAGCCGTCGTCATTCTACTGTGCGTTTTAGCGAAAATGTTTTAGTGGCTGAAACAAGTTATTAAATTTGAAAAGTTTTTTTCATTTTGAAATCGGGAGAGGGCTTGACCTCCTTCTATAAAAAATAACCGAGCTAACTTTTATGGTGGAAAAAAGTAAAATATAACTTTCCGAGGTGTTTATTTTTGGGAAGATGCGAAAAAACTTTTCGTGGGTGTCTTATTTTTGAGAATACGCGGAATATACTTTTTTAATTCAAACCTGGGCCGGGTTGTTCGAAGCTGGGTTGAGATAACCCAAGGTTAGTGCAAATTTTGAACTCAGATATGAGAGCTTAAAAAGCCAATTCAGTTGAATTCTCTTTGCCTACAATTTGATGATTGGATATGCTAAAAAAATAGAGAAAATTATCCAAGAGAGTGCTTTTGATAAAATGAAAAAGAAACCCGGGTTAGCGCTAACCGGCGTTCGAACAACTGGGCCCCGGTCCTCGTAATCGTCCTGACCTCGTCCACGAATCTAAAGGTCTCTACTAACTTTTAAAGTCGAGGATCACTCTTCGCTTCGATGAATTTCTTTCGAATTCAGCCGACTAAGTGTTTCAAACAAACTCGCGATTTTAGGGCAGACTCGCACCATTCCTTCAACCGCATCTCTCCAACGCCTTACTCCTTCCCAGTTCCCCTCGGCCTCCCACGGTTTGTCTCCACAGAAATGAATAATACTTGGTTTTATTCCCCTCATTTCATAAAACCATTTGTTGCAGCCATACTTAATATGGACATGATGCCACTGAGTTTTGTACAACTGCGTAAAGAAATACTCGTCAGGTCCTACAAAGTTTGCGGTAGTTCCTATCTGAGGAAGTGAGCTGGCCAGTAGATAGTCATCAATGTTTGGACTCAACACCATTGTGCAACCATAAACTCCATAATTGTTCTTAACAGCATTTTCGATTTCCAACTCGGGTATTTTCGACCCATGCCAGTAGTTGTGATTTCTAATACTGGAGCAGATACCCGCCGGGGTTTGAAGAGTAAAGAGATCGTCAATATTGCTCAAAACAAGCGAGTCAGCGTCTAACCAGACAATTTTGTCATATTCGGTGAGGTTCAACATCCTGGCCTTTGTCAAACTGTACTGTATCCACGCATCCTCACTGCGGTACCTCTTTCCTCTCAGCGCGCTTTTTACTCTGGTTTTAATATACTGTACTTTTATTACTCGGTCATAGAGCTTGCGCAATAGTTTCATAGCGTGGACACTAACGTCCGGTGTTACCATGACAATCAAGTCGTGTTGGGTCTTTTGTTGCCTTAGCGACCAAGCGAGCGTCAGAGCCCCTTTAACGTACTCGTCTCCGCACATAACCAAAGTAACGAATGCATACCGCGGGCGCGGAATTGTTTTCCTAAATTCTCTCTGTAGATGTTTGAGTGTTTTTGTTTTTGGTGGCGCAAACTGTGAAGTCTTGTTCAGTTTTCGCTGGTCTGAGTCAATAACTTCTCGTAGTAGAGTTCTTCTTCTTGACATCTTTCCGTGGTTCTGTGCCTAACCTGGGAGGTAGATAAAATGGAAATGGCTAATTCTTACATTAAAATGCTCCTGTTACCGACGAGAGGCACTTGCAATTGCCTGCAGAATAGGGTTGGTTTTTTTTTTTTTTTTGGGGGGCACGAGCAAGGAGCGCGAGAAACGCCTGACGGAAAAGGCGCACGAGAAATAACGCCTGTTCTGCAGGCTCCTGATAGGCTCCCGTCGTAGCTGGCTCGCGCTCCTCGCTCGCTTCGTGCTTGCATTCGCACGGCAAAAACAAAACAGAAAACAAAAAAAGGCTTGTTTCTAAGGGTTGAATTGTAAAATAAGTCATTAGGAATAGTCCAACCTTCAAGCAAAAGTCGTGTAATCAAAGATAAAAGCCTTGATATTTCCTTGTAAGCAACTGACTCTTTTAATCAAACCAGTGATCCTATAGTCAGTACCGAATAACATCGACTTAACTCTCTCTAGGGTCGACTGATGCTTTTAAAGCCTATGTAATAACTTGATTGCCTAGCTGTATTTAGTGTGTAAAGCTCTACGAGGGCGTAAACAGCTTACAAACGACAAGTTAAAAATACATTAACAAGTCATTCTCTGTGCGGCGGTAACTTGATTTAAATTGTTTTGCACTGAACCTGTTAATAAGCGATTGTGTTTGCTGAACATAACTTTAATAACGGTTTCATCCATCAATACAAAAGCTTTTGAGTATATTCAACTTTAAATTAAGAGGTGTGAATAATCAAATATGTATGTAATGAAGTCAAGACCGATCAGTTGTCGTTGCTTTTAGATGGTTTTTCCACCGTTTCATTTTCGGGTTTTCATCATCAGTTTTATGTCTTTCTCTCGCTGTTATCGGAAAAGCAACTTGAGATTTGGAACTATAGACTCAAAATCTGGAAGAATATAAATAAATGGTAAAAATAAACGAAAATCACAAAGCAGGACTTTTTTGCAGAATCAAGACAACAATATGTTCCGTCGACGTATTACAAGGGTCACCATGCAAGATAGCGCATCCCTCAATCGTAGGCAAAGGACTGATGCTTGAGGCATGAGCGATGTGCAACAGCTAGTGACCAGTTTGACTTAAGAGTAACTTGATTGAACAAGTTCCCGAGCTTGATTCAGCTACCTGTACACCTCAGATATCATTTGTTACAAGAGGACTGACTTAATGTGACGAGACTACTTAAGAGACGACTTAATTATTGATAATACAGAAAGGAAACTTCTCTTTTATAAACTAGAAATTCGCGGTGATCAGTATAAAATTCGAAGTCCCTAATTGCCTATCATGGCATAAGTGATGTCTTGATTCTGTGCAAGAACACTAGCGCTAATTTCTACCTCTATTTACTTACTCCCTTGTTGGAAATGAATATGTTGCGCCTTAGGAAATGTTGTTGTTGTTGTTGTTGTTGCGGAATCTTACTTACTTCCCAAGGTTTGTTCCCAGGATTCTTAATAAATGTCTCAACAGGGCAAGTCTGAACTTACACTTCTGTAACAGATGCTATGTTCCTCTTCGAAAGTCAAAAGCAAGCACGATTTCGCAAAATAATGTGGTAATGCGCAAACAGTGCTTTGTGAGATAAAGTATTTTAAGTGTCTGTTACCGGCATTCAACCGCACGCATAATTTAAGGTTCAGCTTACAGCTTTGTTATAATACAAAAGCTGCTTGGCAATAAAGGATTAAAATAAGAAGCTTAAAGCAGTGGAAATGTAAAGCATTGTTATATTAACATGCTAGATTTAATTATAAATATGTCGCGCTTAATGTTCTTTGAATGAACGTACTGTGCGCCAAACTATGACTGAAACTTATTTAGGCAGATTAGATCTAGAGTGTCCCTTCGTTCGCAGACAATTATATACTGACTGAGTCTCCAGTTAACATAACTCGGTTTTCCTACCCTAGCAACACAAAGTCAGGGAAAACAAAAAGCTAAGTATTTTTACAACTTCTTATAGTGCTGGCCTGTTCATATCAGAGGCACCGCCCTTGAGGTACACTCTTTTTCTTTTATAAGAATGTTGTTTTTTCGGCTCAGGCTGAATATTCTTATTTTTCTGCCGATTTTAGGCTGAAAATATTCTTGTATTATTCTTAAATTATAGCTTATGATATTTCCGTTTTAGAATTTATTGGGGTATATGTATATGTATTACATGTACCGTTCATCGAACTGTCATTAGCGTTGAACATTTTGCTATAGCTAGTGCAGGTTTTTTCGTTTTGTTGGCTAGTTTCGCCGTTCAGAGAAAGGAATAATTTTATATGGTTAAGTTAAAAACATAAAATTGTATTGTATTTACAGATGTTTCAACACACAAAATTATATCTATCCTTTTCAAAATCTCAGCCTCGGCTTTATTCTTAAAATGTTCTTAAAATTTCGCCAATTTCAGCCTCGATATTCTTATAAAATATATTCTTATAAAAAAAAAGAGTGTAAACTACAAGCTGGAAGAGGGGTGCGCGCCTCATGGGACTTTGTCCCACTGTAGCGGATAGCTCTCGCGCCGGCAATAAAACCATACCCAGATAGGACTTCCGTTCACACATAAGAACGGTGATTTCGGCGCGATTTCTGTAACGGCTTGAGGTTAAGCTGCGCCGATCTCGAAAGTGAATTAAGCTTCACATATCGGATAGGTTCTGTGCCACATTTTGGTGGAGGTATTCGGCCCGTAGCGGACGTTAATAAGTAGAAATGAGGACTGGAATCCACTGACACGAAAGCACATAACAAGGAGTGATTGAGTATTGGTCAAAAAGAGCACCAAACCCTCACGGCCAACCCCTCCGGCACAACCGCGATGTGCGTGAACGACT